CTACTTCTTCCACTTCTCCTGGTGCTGATACGACGTCATGGGTTTCCCCCCAGAGCCGCAGGTTCCCACGCCCACTTTCCCGCTCACGCTGTCCGGGGTGGCGAAGATGCTTTTCTTCACCTTGCCCTTGCTCGTCTTTGAGAACGCCTGGGGAGGGAGGAGGGAGGGGGGAGGGGAGGGGGTGAGGAGGGGAGGGGAGAAAAAACACACCAAAACCATTTAGTTTTTTAATAAGAGTATTACGGCACTTGCAACACAGTAAGGTCATGCAAGTGCAAAAGATTAGAGGTGTTACAAGAGATTAACAAACATAAAAAAGAAAAAGGGGAGATAAGGACGATAGATGTTTGACAGGAAAGAAGAAACAAACCACACCAGAGCACCCGCCAACCCACGGAGGGGAGGGGAAGGTAGAAAAAAAACCCCACCAAATAATCATCTCTGCATATATACAGACATAACAATATCATAATAATATGAAAACTACAGGGGGAAAAAAAGCAACAACACAGTACATTATTCCTTCATCATATCTTGGCTCACATTACCATCCAAATTCTTCTATCTTAACCATCTTGTTATAAGTATTCACATGACCTCAGAACAAGCATCAGAATAACATTGAATACCGTATGTAGCTAGCTTAAGATTATTATTGTTTATATTGCTGCTCCTTTTATATTATGCATGTGACTGTAAGCCAGTGTGTTTGTGTGTGTGTGCGTGCACGAGGTGAAACACCAAACCAATGTGCCAGAATCTGGACAGTAAAGATGTATCTTAACTTATCAACCAGACTTGGTTCATCTGTTTCTTGTTCCCAGCAATAAATTAGAAAAACCAAGGAAGCTCTATTGACACATTAATTTTGGTAGAACTTAAAACAGAAGAATGCCTTTTTAGAATGATTACGCTGACAAAACGTCTTTTTATCTCTGCAGTGAATAAGAAAAAGGTGTTTTGTCACTGAACGGCTGAGTGTGCAGTGTAGGAGTACAAATATCCCCCCCAACCCCCCCCCGTCTCCTCCTCTCTCTGTCAACTGACCTTGACGTTAAAGTCCAGCCACCTGTTCTTGTCCTGCTCGTGTTCCTCCTCCAGCTGCTTCATCCTCTGGGCTTTCTTCTGGGATTTTTTCCGCTTGTACTCGCGCTGCTCAGCGATCAGATCTTTCCTGCCGACACATTCCGCACAAAGATTAACAATTTTACTTTTTAATGGTAAGTGCGGTAAAACGATTCTCACTCTGAATGTAGAAAAATGACTTTGGGGGAAAAAAACCCCACCTAGAAGCTAAATTATTAATATGTATAAATGGCAAAATGACTTTAACAAAATCTTCTGACTTATTTATTGGCCAGAAACATGACAAAATGGTTGACAAAAAAAACAAAAAACCCCCACGAAAATACATCCTTTTTATTCATCCCCAAAAGTTCAACGGCACAAATTATGCATGTATGTATGTGTGTGTGTGTGTGTGTGTGTTTGTGAGGGGGAGAGTCAGACCTGCCAATCCCTCCATAAGAGTTGTCAACTTTGAAAACTGAAAATCTTATAATGTAATTTTTCTTACAATGACATTCACTTACAGAAATTTTTTGAACAAATTATTAATTCAGAAGCTACATTTATTGTAGGCCTACAAAGTTTCAATTATTTTTTTAATCACCCATGTCCTTAAATCCAAACTTGCAAACAGACACCAACTTTTGTCAGGACATAAAATATTTTGACAAAAATATGGCTTGAAAGTATACTTGCTTAAAAAAACCAACCTCTACACGAGGGGTGGGGGTAATCTGTGGCAAAATACTACTGCCATGGTCATGACACAATAGGGGGGAACACATTTCTCCCTCGGTTTTCTCAGTATTGCTTTGGTAAAAATACCCGCTACTGGTCTTATGTCCTGAATATAACAAAGTTTTGTTCTGAGTACAAAAAAATCCAAGAATTGAGACGTTTCTCTCATCATCATTGCCTTTCTCACCCTGGATCAGGAATATAGGCCACGAACAAACACTTTCCACCTTTCCCTATCCTGGGCTAGTTGCTTGATGTTACCCAATATCTTCCCACTTTTCTGTACATCCATTTCTGTGACTAGCCCTCTCTTTGCTAAAGTTGTAAAGTAGACTTAATTGAGCACTGATATTTTCCTTATTTTTCTCCCTTAAACCCCCAAAATGACTTCACATTTTTATTTTAAGGCAATACGAAAACAAAATAAACAACTGACAGGCAAAAAATAGAAATGGGGGGCTTTTGATTTCCGTATTCCACTGATGACTTTAAGAAATCAATCCACTTTCTCCTCCCCCACTCACTTTGATTTCTTTGCGTCAACTGTACGGTCACCCTTTGCTCCCCTCTTCAGTCTGTCGTCGATTGACTTCAACTGTGAGATCTGAATGAAACGAAAACAAAAAATTGAATAAAAATACTGTGCAAGATATTTATATATAAAAAAAAAAAAAAAGAAACCTTGCTGCACTCGTTGGCTTATTGTCTTTTTACAAACAAAACGTTTGTTTTAGTAAGGTTTTATGGCACTTAGAACTGCATAAGGTCATACATGAGCGCCAAGGGGTGGATGTCAACAGAGAAGTCTAAACGAGGAATCAAACTTACTCTGCTCACCTCTCTAGCCTCAACAGTACAAAGTCTGCTTCAACCATCAAGGCACCTAGGAAACAGCTGTTCACAAGAGAGTGACAAACATTCAAAAGAAGTAGAGGAGAGAGAAGACATAACACAAAATCATCATCATGGCCTTTCTCACCCTGTACCAGGGTATGGGCCACGAACAAACACTTTCCATCTTTTTCTATCCTGAGCTAGCCTCTCGATGTTATTCCACGTCTTCTCACTTTTTTGTACATTAATTTCTGATTATACAAAATAGATTACCAAAAAGGTTTTAAAAAAAGGGACACAAGATAAAACAGTTTGACACAATAACTCCCAAACTTTTAATTCTAGTTTTAGTAAGAGTTTTACAGCACTTGCAACACAAGGTCATATAAGTGCTGAAGATTAGAGGTGTTACGAGAGCAACAAACACAAAAATGGAGGAGAGAACAGGACAATAGATCTGATCTTTGACAGGAAAGAAGGAGCAATCCACACCAAAGCCCTCGCCAACCACCTGCCTCAAAACTTTCTTCTAATGGTGACCAAAAAAACCCACCTCTATTTAAACAATCCAAACATTACTGAAGCCTATTTGGAGGGACAGAAACATCACGCACAGCTAAAAAATTAGAGAAAAAGATTCAGACCACAGAGATGAGATGTTACCGCAGACTCCTTGACATCTCGTACAAAGACCACGTTTCAAATGCTGAAGTATGAAAGAGAATCACCAACGCAGTGGGGCAATATGAATATCTACTGACCACAGTGAAGAGACGAAAACTAAAATGGTATGGGCATGTCACAAGATCCACAGGACTTGCCAAAACAATCCTGCAAGGAACCGTACAAGGAAAGAGAAAGAGAGGAAGGCAGAGAAGGAGATGGGATGACAACATTACAGAGTGGACAGGAAAGACGATAGGTGACAATCTGAGGAGAGCAGAGGACAAAAATAGATGGCGAGAGCTGGTTTTCCAATGCAGTGGTGCCCCAACGGTTGCCCCAACCACGGGATAGAAGAAGAAGAAGAAACATTTTGGCTCTTTTCTAAGGTGATCAGCGAAAAGTACGCACGGGGCAGATGGCGCTGTTGTTGTAGCCGGTGTAGGTGACAGTGCAGGTCCCGTCTTCCAGGATCTCCTCAATGACTGCCTCATAGTGTCTGGAACAAACACAACACAACAGAAACAGTGAATTAGTTAGTTTTAGTAGAGGTTTTACGGCGCTCGCAACTGCATAAGGTCATATGAGCGCCAAGGGGTGGATGTCAACAGAGAAGTCCTTACAGGGAACCAGACTTACTCTGCTCACCTCTCTAGCCTCAACAGCACAAAGTCTGCTTAGACTACCAAGGCACCCCGGAAATAGCAATTCACAAGAGAGTGACAAACATACAAAAGAAGTAGAGGAAAAATGACGATAGTAAAGATGAGGAAAGAAATAGCTGCAGTTTCCCCCCCCATGTTGTTCCGGTGCAGAATGAGCATGACATTGATAAATCAGCCCATTTACAATTCGACTGTAAATAAAAACAAGTTAATACCCCCCCCCCCCCCCCCCTGATTCATAAAACCACAAGAAAGAATGAAGAAAACCACTACAAAGAAGCAAAAAAAATCTTCATAAAACTGCAAGAAACGAAAAAGAAAAAAATATATAATAAAACCACTAGAAAGGAAGAAAAAAAAATCTTCATAAAACCAAAAGAAAGGAAGAAAAAAAAATCTTCATAAAACCACAAGAAAGGAAGAAAAAAAAATCTTCATAAAACCAAAAGAAAGGAAGAAAAAAAAATCTTCATAAAACCAAAAGAAAGGAAGAAAAAAAAATCTTCATAAAACCAAAAGAAAGGAAGAAAAAAAAATCTTCATAAAACCACAAGAAAGGAAGAAAATTTTTATTTAAAATAAAACCACTAGAAAGGAAGAAGCAAAAAACGTGCTGCAGCACTCACTGTCCGTCCTCCTGGTAGAGAGCCATGCAGGAATCGCCGATGTTCCACGCGCCCTCCCCCGACGCCTCCGCTCCCGAGCCCGCCGCTGAAGCACCCGAACCAGCACCGGCCGCCGCTGTGGCGCCATGACCTTCTGCCGACGGGGCCGAGGGTTGCGAGATCAGCTCCGCTGTCAACGCAATCACCTCCTGAGTACAAGAGCCAAGCACACAAGTAAGTACCAAAGAGATGACATGGTTTTGTAGAACTATAGTACAGTAGTAGTAATATTTACTCATACTACATTCTCGTGCATTCATCTGTCACAAGATGCAGCAAACTTTTTATCTACCAAAAATCTCCAAAAACAAAAATATACAAATCATCAAAGTATTCTTTAAAAAAAACATTATGTTGAAAAGCTGACTAACAAACAGCAGGCCAGGTAACTGAACTTTTAAAAGCTCAGCAGAACAGTTATAATTGAAATATGGCTTGGAATTAATATTTCTGACTAGACTCAACTGCACTTCCATTTTTGACCTGCTAGACACTTGCTCACTTGAAAAGACTCATCTTTACACTTGGAAATATATCCACTCAAAACAACTGACAAAAAAAACACCAATATCAGATACCATAAAAAGGTAAAATAAAAATATACAAAACACTTTCTAAATATGGTAGCATAACAACCCTGTCAGTAAGAGATGATCTTGTGTGTGGGGGAAGCCCATACTTACGCCTTGTCACCAGGTTTATCTACATGATTCTTCTTGCATCTCCTTATCATGCTCACTCCTGAAGGCGCATGATCTAGAATATAAGAGTCTAACAGAGATTAAATTTTCGCTGGTTCTTCTACAAGGTTGTATCTCTAACACAACAAAAATTCTCATTCCCTACCCCCCCAAAAGACACAAACTCTCTAAGGAAGATCACCTTCACCCTTTCCATCACTTGGTAAAGACAGGTAAAAAGGTACTATTAGCCAGCTGAAGCTTAGATAAAAGAAAAAGAGAGAAAATAATTAAAGAAGAGGAACCAACATGATCAGTTCAACACACCCCCCCCACAACCAAAAGAATGAAAAAGAACGTTTTTGTACTTTTCAAAAGCATAAAATGTTTTCTACTTGAAAGACCTATGAAAATAATACACATGCAAAACTTCCAACTTCAAATGTTCAGGGCTGCTGACAATGCAAATTACATGTAGAGCTGAGACAACAAGAAGAAAGATTTGAAATGACAGTGTCAGCGGTAAGTTATGCGAAGATTACAAGCATAGATTTTATTTTCAAATGCATATCTCTACATTACCATAGGAATTAGTGTCCCCTTCACATGCACTAAGAAGAGGAGTGAAACCACTGATCTTTGTACTGAATAGCCAGACTCACAAAACCAAGGTTTTACTACTAGAGTAATGGCACTATTTTAGCACATATTCTGAAATATACTGCCAGACAACAAATTTAACAACTGCAAAATTGACACAGCAAGTTCAAAGAAAAAACAAAACAAAACAAAAAGACTGAAAGATTCTAACCTGAAGATCTTTTTGAAGTTTTAATAATTCTTCATTGGTAGGGTCTGTGGTGAGAGCAGCTTCCACCTGGAAAAACAAAAACAAACAAACAACAAAAGATTAGTTAATTAGATTAGTAGTAGCATACACAAGAAGCAATCAGATAGAGATAAAATAATGAAAATAAAGTCAAACAACTCTGTTATCCTGCCAAGTCTTAAAAAAAAACACAACTATGATGCACCTCTGTCTTAGTTTAGTTTGCAAGAGTCTAGATTAATACAGTAATACAGCTACGCCACCCAGCCCCTCATATTTTATAGTGTGTAAGCTTGTACATTTCACAAGCCCCACCCACCCACTGTAAGTGTAGTAAGACAACCATCCATTGTCAAGGAAGGCGTTTTACACCCACCCAACCGCTGTCTTAATGAAGTGGTTATTGGGAGTCGACTCCCCATAATGTCAACTGGTTATTGAGAGCCGACTGCCCATTTAATCAGTTGATTTTCATGAAGCTACAGCGAGCACCTAGCACACCTTTGTGATTGGCCCAAATATTGATGACCTATTTCCGCCATCTATTTTTGTTGTCTTCCGGGGCTTCCCTCGCCAGTTGGCAAGATCAAATCAGTTACTGGCAAGGGAAACCCAAGGAAGACGACAAAAATAGATGGCGGAAATACATCATCTAAATCTAAACTATATTTGGGCCAATCAGAGAGAGGTATGCTAGGTGCTTGCTGCAGCTTCATTTTTGTTGATACAGAGTGTCTACTCTACGTACACGGTAACCTGGCAGTTCAGATTTTGTCATCCGGTGTTGCCTTCATCCCCACCCCTTCCCCGACTGTACCTTTAAAAAAAAATCAATAACCCCCTCTATTCCGGAGTCCTACACTTCGCAGCGCACAGACTTTGAATGAAGTTTGGTGACCCCAACAGGTACTCACAATGTGATGCGCACCCACAGGTTCACTGACCGGTCACGATGGCGAGCCCGACAAGATGCCTGTACGATTCTTTTTTTGGTAAGATGGAAGAATACCAGACCAGCAGACTGACTTTGCCTATGTCTCAACCTTAGGAATTCAGGATTTTCCCCAGTTTTTAATACCTCTCAATGGAGAATCTTGGATCGGTAGATCTATTCACTCCTCCACCCCAACCACCCGCCCCACATTCTCGCGCAATAATGTATACGAGTGGTCCGGTATTCTTCAATCTTCCCCCTTTTTTTGTCAGCAAGTGACAGCACAGGACAAATAGGCCTATTATTGATTTATTTTCATTCCGGTTACAGTGTACGGTTACAGTGTGTCGTAGATACTGAGACTAGGTGCCAGTTTACTGTGTACGTAGAAACTGAGACAAGGTGAGACTAGATGCCCGGTTACCGTGTATGTAGATACTGACATTACTGAGACTAGATCTAGATTCTAGACCTAGGTGCCCGGTTACCGTGTAGCCTACGTGTAGACACTGTAGGCGATGTTATGTGATTGGAAGACGCTCAGTTTTCAATGTTTCATGTTGTGACTCCCAATAACGCCGGTCTAAAAGCCTCCATATGCTCCTCGTGAGTCTCGAAAATTACTCATCCCTTCTCTTGAATTGTGTTTCTTATATTCTTAAGTGAACGTTAGAGTGTGATGCTGCGACCACTGGTGACTGGTGAGAACAGCCGCCACTTCCTTATCGATAAATAGGGTAACAGAACATTTTCATTGTCATTTCGTATACACTGCACTAACTCTGGCTTTCCAAAGACCTTTATAAACGTTCTATAAAAGTGAAAAGTCTACTTGCCTGTTGCAGCTGTAATTTGTAAGTTTTCAAATCATCTGTCTCAGCCATAATGACAAAAGCGTAACGGTAAATAAACAATAGAGTCAGTCAGTTTGTTGCAAATTGCAGCAAAGAAAGAGCACAAGATGCAATTTGGCAATAGATCGAGCAATGAAAGGGGTTGCCGGTGTTGCCCTGCCAGATGAGAAATATTGCTGCTGTTTCACCGGTTTTTACATAAAACAGCCAAAGACACCAACCACAAATTATACATGTTGTAGACGATAGCAGTTCTCGTGACTGCAAAGGAGAGAGCAAAGAGCGAATAGAAATATAACAATATTGCAATAAGAGATGAACACTCATTAACAGAATAGCTTATAATTAGGCTATTATTTTAATTTTTATTATGTTATGCCTACTTGAAATCGATAGGTCCTTAAATTGTAAGTCCACTGCTTTACTTTCTAAAGAACAGATAATGCTGTTCTTAATAGAAACACGATTTCACCGGACCTATAAAAATAATCAAAAGTTTATCAGTTTAATTGTTTACATTTATTGTTGGCCAACTTTGAAAAAAAAAATGAACCCAATGTGTCGTTGACTGCTGTTTTTAGTCGTAATTAATTATTTCAGTCTGAATCTGAGTAAAAACTGGCATTTCTGTCGGATTTGTCAGCCAGCTGGCTACTGGCAACCGGCAACTTTCACTTTCAAGATCAACACGCTATTTGACGCGATTGCACGGCTTACTACACACAGCAGGCGACACACAAAAAACGTACAAAAGACAGTGTGTCGCATATATTTGTTCGCAAAAGTGCTCATGCTGAAAGCATCTCACTTCTCTCCTCCTCAAATTGTCGTTTTATTTAAGTAAGTGATAATCAGTTTGCAGTTCAATAGATAATATTTAATATCTGGCTCTGGGGGCTCTCGTGGCCTAGCTAGAGGTTTTAGGAACTTTAAGGTGTTGGCCTCTCTTTCAAAGGTCCCGGGTTCGAATCCGTGTAGCGACCGAAACATTTTCGGTGCTTTTTCAGTGGTTCCCACCCCCTTATTTGAGCCTAGATCTACATCGAGATCTATACAAGCTAAGATATCAAACCTAACAACTGCAAAACATCACATTATGGTAAAATTCAGGGGGGCATGCCCCCCTGGAACCCCCCCAACCTTATTTTTATTTGGTCAGGGGGGCAAGCCCCCCTGAAACCCCCCTACTCTTGGGCCCAAAACCCGCGAATATCAATTGCGGGGTGGGAATTACCAAAAAAGCGCCAAATTTTCTTCTCTAAAATTGTCTCCTTTCACCTCCTTTCCTGCTCTCTAGCAATGTTCTGTTGTCTGCTTTCATTTCCACTTTCTGCCCCCACCCCCTCACCTCCTTTGCCCCCTCCTCTGGGCTCCTGACTCTTTCTGCAGCCTTTCTTCTGCTACTCCTTGGCTCCTCCTTACTGCTGTCCACACCCCTGATCTTCTGGTAGGAAAGATCTACACCTAGCCTTCTCGGACAAGGGCAAAAAATCTCGGAGGGCCCGTGTGCAAGTTGCGCACGTTAAAGATCCTTTGGTGGTCTAAAATCGATAAGAGTAGGCTTCGGCCGCCACCCGGGCAAAATTCAAAATTTCCTACCAACTGAAAATATTAGGTGTGTCCCGCGCGCTCATATGACCTTTATGCAGTTGCGAGCGCCGTAAAACACTTTACAAAAACAAAACAAAACAGATAATATCTAGACTATATTAATTATATTTAAAATTTCGGTACCTTTTCGGTAGTTACCCCCCCCCCCCCCCTTATTTGAGCCTGGAATCTAGATCTATACGTTTGATGCGCGGCGAGCTAAGGTATCAAACCTAACAACTGCAAAACATCAAATTATTGTAAAATTGTGGGGTGGGAACTACTGAAAAAGCGCCGATATTTCATCTAATATCTACCATAGCAGAGGGATGACGTCACCTGTCTTGACCAACAAGATGTGGTAGTACAGAGACTTGTTTGAAAAATGCACTCACTCGCTTGAAGACTTCAAGAATATGTATGTATACAGTATACGGATAGGTCGAACACAGAAGACTCGAAATTATGCATCCGATGAACTGTGCCTGTGGTCCCGTTTTTCTTTCTTCTTTATCTTTGTATGATATCCCTCACACTACGGATCATGGCCAGTCCCAACGAATTCGAGCTATCCGTGTTATACTGTCGTAATTTGCAATTGTTTTGTTGAGGGGGGGGGGGGGTAAGGTATAACATTATATATTCTATTATGTGATATGGGGGGTAGGGACTGGTAACTGGTAATTTTCCAATGTTTATTCATGATATATAGATCTATATATCTTCTGGATTTGGGTAATTAAAGGTAGGTTATTTATATGCCAACCCACTGTTAGGGGGTTAACCCTACCCCTCTTTACCTCAATCTAGCAAATATGTGAATAAAATTTTGGAAAGTGGAAAATTACTACGTATTACTACATGGTGGGCTATGTCACCTGGCCAGCCAACCTCGAGAACCTACAACACCAAGCACTCAGGCTATAAAGTAAGAGGAAGGCTATGTAAAAGGTGGATCGAGGGTGTCAAGGAAACCCTGAGAAAATAACATCACAACTGAAAGAGCTGCGGACCTGGCCTACCATAGAAAACTGCATCTCCCCTCGACGCTTAACGGCAACGAGGATGAAAAAGTAAAAATGTTTAAGTACGGCATGGGTTTGCCTCTCTGTTTCCACACCCACAAGCATTGAAAACAGCATAGAAAGAATTTATAAATATTTTAATTGTCTGGTAGATAATACTTTCATATTTATTTAATCTATTCACAGATTAATATCTACAGCACAACATGACTCAGTCTGATGCAGTACGAGAGAGGAAGTCAAAGAGTAAAGGGAAATCAAGAAAATCCCGAGATGAGAAGCCAGAGGAGGAAAATGACAAAGCTGAAGGGGGAAGGAAACCTGATGTTGACTGCGATGAGAACTCTGTAGGAAATGACAAGTCCAGCACTGAACCAACAGAACAGCGGAAAAGTAAGAGGCAAAGGAATAAAGGAAAGGTATGCTTTTATTGTGTCTTAGTCTTTTTTAAGATCAGTGGACATCTTTGTTAACTCTTTATCTCGGAGGGGGGTAAACCCTCTATGCCGGGGTCCTTTTTTTGGTACTAAATGTAAAAATGACGGAAACATCATTAAAGTGGTCATTAAATCAAAACAATTGAACCTGTTTTCATTGTTCTTCGTCTAATAAATGAGCCACTGGGAGCAGCTTGCAGGAGATAAAGCGTTAAAAAGAGGTAGAGGTAGGTCAAAAATAGCATCTCGGAGAACTTGAGAAGAGATGGATGAGGAGAACAGGTCAGGATAATATTCAGATCTTTTTTTAGAGCATCTGGCACTTAAAGAAAAAATTGGAGTTTCAGTTTCCTATTTTTTTATGCAGTGCAGCACCTTTTAGATGCTCTTTAGGTTGTTTTTTCCCTCTGTCTCGGTATTCAACTGAAGGTGATTTGAAACATAAATATTTTTTTCAAAGAAAGTGGCAAATTTGAATTCCCTAGCGTTACCATATTGAAATTGTTTTGGTCTTTGTTGACCGAATGCTTCAGTGCTTCAGTGTTTGACAGTTTTAAATAAGTCTAGAATAGATTTAGTGTTAATAAAAATCAAATCATGTTCCAAAGCAAGATTGTTTTTCCTGTAAAATTGATATTTTAGCTAAATAGCTTCATACATCATGTATGAGGATTTTCAGGGGCTTCAATTATAACAAATATGATATTTGAGATTAATTTTTTTTGTAGTTTGTGAGAAATATGAAAGTCTGCTCTTGCAGGGGAGGAGAGCAATGAGAGGGATGGCCAATATAAAAGAACTAGAAAGTTTCAGAGGATTGAAAACTGCTCGTTGCAGTGCTAGAGGAGACAAAATAAAGATAAGAGATGCGATTAAGATATATAATACTTTATTATCCCAGAGTGAAATTTTTTTTGACAGTGCAGGACCCTAAAACACCTTCAGGTATACATGAAAATGTAAATAATATATTACTCTCATTAAAATTCCATATGAAAAGAGAAATAAAGCTGACAAAATGTAGATCTACATATCACATCAGATGCATCATTCAACCACATGCAGGAATTTAATTACAAAAACCTTTAGGGTATATATAGATGTATGAAGACAACAGGGGGAAAATGTCAGTCTCCTTTTGAATTGCAGAACATCAGTCTTCATTGTAGAGATTGGGACGCCCAGGTAGAGATGAATGAGAAAAAGACGTTAGTCACTTGTGTTAAGTTTTTTTTAGGTTGCTGTGTATTGTTTTTATTGAGATGTCCATTCTTTTCTTGATTCAATCTTTTTTTTTTTTTTTTAGTTGAGGTCTTACGACGCTCACAATTGCATAAGGTTAAATGAACGCCAGAAGATTAGAGGTGTTACAAGAGAGTAACAAACATAAAAAAGAAGAAGGGGAGATAAGGACGATAGATGTTTGATAGGAAAGAAGAAGCAAACAACACCAGGGCACCCGCCAACCACCCACTGATTCAATCTTTGTTTCTTCTCTTGAAGGGAAATGGTGAGAAGGAGTCCTATACACTCCTGTCTGCTGCCTGCGGAAAATTGAAGTACGTCTTTTTGATTATATTTGTCCCACCGTTCCTCAACTACGCATCTCTTCAGCGAGAAACTGTGGAGTTGAGACCCCCAGGTAGTATCTTTTGTGTGGTTTTTTTTCAGGTCTTACTTAGAGTGAAATCAAATGTTTTTTCTATATTGCCTGAATTTGTGGCAATTTTTTAAGGGCATCTGAGCATAGCCATGACTTGCTTTCCATGATAGCTGATGTCTGGTTCTGATTTGACACTTGATGAGGATGATGGATGGAGATTCATTGTCGATTCTTAAGTAGGAAATGAGTAGATTGAAGGTCGAATGGAATGGAGGGTGATCTGCAAAGAAGCAGTTGGCTCTTTCAAGAGGTTGTATCTTTTTGTTTCTGGCTAGTGTCATTTTAAAAGGAAATAAAATAAAACTCTGTCTTTGAAAGAGATACAGTATATCGTTGCAATAAATCTTAAAACTTGTAGCTGAAAGATGCATAATATTACTGGAAATCACCAAAAAAAAAGAATTTTGTTTTAATTTTGCTTTTTTTCCTTTACCTTGATCACTCGACACTTTTACTGATTTTCATTGGTCAAAGTATACTTTTGTTACTACAGTGGTGCCTCTTAATTTTTAAACCAAAGTACTTATATATATTATAATCATACAGTATGAAGTTTATGAACTTTCAGCACTGATACCCGGTGATGTCCACTTTAACAGCAACTCAGATAAAAGCAACCTCATCCTAACGGCAACCTAAGCTTTTGGAATGGAATTTTTTTTCAATATAAAAATAAATCTCATTGTTAACAGCAGACTTTTCCTCTTAACACTAACAGCAACCCTTGTTGCCACAAATTGTTTAACCCCAATTTTTTTTTCTCGTCTTTTGACCATTCAAAAACATTGTGACCAACAAGAATGCCACAATTCCACTACGTCATTTTCCTATTCCTTTCACAGGGGAGCTTTATGACATCGGCTGGGGTCAGAAGCTCTTCCTGTCTTGTCAGGGTCAAGGCCCGCCCACAGTTGTCCTTGACGCACCCACAGGCATGAGCTCCGACGTGTGGACTGCCGTCGTGGAGAAACTGTCGCAGCACGCTAATGTGAGCACTTTGGAGAGATAGTTGTATTGGCTTTACGGTGAAAGTAAAATATAGCCCCCATCCCCCATTTCGCACAACCTGACTTATGTGCAAAATCCATAATTACTGGGGGAGTGGGGGGGGGGGGGGGGGGGGGGGGGTTGTCACTGTGGTTCACAGGTTTCTACTCTAGAACTAAAATTACAAAGTTCTATCTGGTCAGTTCCTAGTTTTGAGAAATTTGACGTTAAAAATTTTGAATTTCACATATTACACTTTTTTAAAAGGCGATTCTTTGAATATCTCTATAACGCCTCTGAATAATCTTACGATTTTGATAGAGCAGACAGTACATTTGGTTTCTGACCTCATGGGCTTAGTAACTCCAAATGGCCAAAAATGTGAGGTAGAACTTTGTAACTCTAAGGCAGTCAGGTACATCTTCCACGAACAGGAAACAGTGGGTTGTGATTACCGCTTGAAGCGAAAACATAGAGGGTTAAGTGAAGTTGTTTAGTAAAGTTATGAAGAGTGAATTAGTTATTTGTGAGGCATCATGGTGAAATCAGACGCTCGTCAAAATAATGTAATTCCGTTCAAAAACATTCTTTTGTGTGGATTTTATGGGAAAACGTTGGTTAAAGGCACGTAAAATGTAAATTTGCAATTTCCATAGTTTCTTGAGCTATTGAAGTCACCAAACTTTGTCGACCATTTTCTCGCTAATTTTACTTCTGAAACCAGGCGACCCCACCTCCTTCAATCACAAATATCTCGACTTCTATTCAAGATAAATGGATAATTTTTCTCATCAAGTGCAAGGCAAGTGGACATTGAAGAACCTTTAAGATGATACCAACAACTCCATATATCCCCCAAAATTGACGAGTGCCTGATTCCACCGCATGGTGACACATTTACTTTTACCGTAACCCTCTCTCCGTAGGTCTGTGTGTACGACAGAGCCGGGATCGGTTTCAGTGAACGACCTATCAATCGCTCGGGGACAACGGCCAAAACAGAAGACTCTCCTCAGTTCACGCAGAGTCACGATGCAGACAGGTGGCAGCCCTTTACCGTAGAAAGGTGGGCGGTTGTTTGTCTGTTTGTTTGAAGAATGTTTTATGTGTTTGTTGTAGCAAGGTTTTATTTGTGTTTGTTTGCTGGGGGGGAATGTTTGATGTGTTTGTGATATTTTAGGAATGGTTTAAGTGTTTGCTAGAGAAATGTTTTATGTTTTTGATTGAGTGATGTTTTATGTGTTTGTTTTTAGGAATGTTTTATGTGTGTTTGCAATTTTAGGAATGTTGTATGTGTTTGTAATTTTGTATGTGTTTTCTTGAGAAATGTATTATGTGCTTGATTGAGTGATGTTTTATGTGGGTTTTTTTAGGAATGTTTTGTGTTATTCTGTTTTATGTGTTCGTTGAGGAAATTTGTGTGTGTTTGTTTTAAGGACTATTTTTTGTGTATATTTTAGAATGTTTTATGTGTTCGTTTGTTTGTTTCTATAAAGTTTTGCTTTGTGTTTGTTTAATGAATATTTTATGTGTTTATTTTTAGGAATGTTTTATGTGTTTGTTTGAGTATAAATGTTTTGTGTGTTTATTTTAGGAATGTTTTCTGTGTTTATTTAAAAGGAATGTCCATTTATTTGGACAAAGATTTGTGTGAGTTTTTAAAAAAAAGTTTTCTGAAAACAACCATGAAATAACTATGGCAATTGTGTTGTGACTGACAACATTACTTTCAATTTTGTTTTCAGAATGGTGGATGATCTGAGCCATCTAATTTCTTCGAGCAGCCAACAGCCCAAGCCGTTGATTCTGGTAGGGGCCGAGCTGGGAGCCGTCGTAGCCCAGTTTTTTGCCCACATTTACGAGGCGGACACTCTGGGGCTGGTTCTCGTCAACCCGCTGCCTGACGGAATATTTGAGCAGACGGACGGAGCATGGTCTCATCATTGGTAAGATATCATCATTATCATTGCCTTTCTCACCCTGCACCAGGGTATAGGCTATGGACAAACACTTTTCACCTTTCTCTGTCCTGGGCTAGCCTCTTGATGTTATTCCCTGTCTTCCCACCACTTTTCTGTACATCAATTTCTTTGATTCTTCTCCTGGTTCCTCGCGGTCTTCCCCTTAATCTCTTACCCTATGGATTCCAATCCAAAACTCTCTTTGTTATGCAGCTGCCTGACTTCCTGATAGTATGTCCAGTCCATCGCCACGCCTTCTTCCTACTTCGTCTCTGACTGGGGTCTGTCTTGTTTTTCTTAACAATTCCTCGTTGGTGACCCTGTCTGTCTGTCTGATCATCAGTAACTTTCCCTTGTAACACCTCTAATCTTCGGCACTTATATGACCCTATTGTGTCGCAAGTGCCGTAAAGCTCTTATGAAAAAGAACAAAAATAAAATATGTGTTTTCACAGGTTCAACAGCGTGAGCCCCACCTATCAGACCTTTCAGCTCGGAGCTGCCTTAGGGTTCACGCGACTCGGTCTTCTCATTGGTGCTCTCAACCAGCCTATCACAGGACAGTACGTTCCAGAGGAGGTGATTATTAGACAGGTGAGTTACTAACCCTTGAGTTAGATGTTGTTGTTGGTGTTATATCGATTCAGCTTTACACGAATTTTCCTCACTTCACCCAGGTGGGAATGGGTACCTGGCCATAGATCGTGAAAGATCTTGTCAGTATGTTAGTGTTCAAGAGCCTATAAATGGCTGCTTGCACTGTAATCTTCCTAGGAAGTTGAGGTTGTTTCAGAAATGCTCTCAGGTCTGCTGGGATAACAGTATAGATTGTGAAGCGCATAGAGCTTGCTGTTGAGCAGGGAATTGCGCTATACAAATGCTATCTATTATTATTATTATTATTATTAAGGGAAGCTAGTGTCTCCAGAGGGGCGTGGTGAGACAGTAACCTGCGTAGAAAAGACAGAAAAATATCCAACCAGCTGTTAACTGGCACAATCAGCAGGCAGACCCTTTTATGGATCCTGAAGAGGAGGGAGGAGCAGCTATGGCATTGTGCCACCTGCAATGATGCCTATTCTTCAACCAAGTAAGTATTATTATTATATTTTATCACACTCTACGGAACATTACAGCACCTGCAGCAAACCTGCACTTATCACTACATGGCATTGGACAGAAGGGCGAGAGCCTAGATGTTGCTGGATCGATAACAACAACAACAACATTAAATTGTATGTCTATTTTTCTCCCCACCAGAAACACCTGCTGTGCCACCCACGCCACCTGAGCTCCGTCGTGGACGAGCATTACTTCATCAATGAGACCTTGTCGCAGCTACGCACCTTGAGGATGGTCAAACCCCTGGCCAATAACATCTCTGTCTCAATACTCACCGGGAATTATTACGATGAGCAAATGCCTGCTCATTTAAATAAGGTAAGCTGGCATGTACTGTCCATTTTAACTAATCGTTTTTATTCAATTTAAGAAACGATTACTATGTATGTTTTTTTCCTAAAGAATTTTTTTTCTTTTCAGTTCAACTACCTGTTATCATGTATTATTCATTTTTGACAATTGTTTTTCAGTTAATTCAGCATCTATTATTATGTATTTATTTTTAAAAATCATTTTTATTTAAATTTAGCAACCTATTATTATGTATTTATTTTTTAAAATCATTTTTATTTAAATTTAGCAACCTATTATTATGTATTTATTTTTAAAAATCATTTTTATTTAAATTTAGCAACCTATTATTATGTATTTATTTAAAAAAATCATTTTTATTTAAATTTAGCAACCTATTATTACGTATTACTCTTTGCAAAAATCATTCTTGTTTATTCAAACATTTATTCTTGTATTGTTTATCAGAAAAGATTATTCACATTAATTCAAGAACTTTTCAGCTTGTTGCAACTCAGAGAAACAAAGACAAAAGATGATGATACAGGAAAGGGATGTTGTTGTATTTGTTCTTCTCATTCTGATTAGAGTGAAAGGAAAGTGCACAGAATCATCATATGTGTCACGACGCAGTGGAATCAGCCTCTCGTCAATTTTTGGGCATGTAGAGCTATTGGTTTCACCTGAAAGCTTCTTCATTTGTCTTTATTTGGATTTTTAAAAATGTCCATTTCTCTCGAATACAAGTCGAGATATTTGCGGATGAAGGATGTGGGGGTCACCTGGTTTCAGAGGTAAAATCAGAGAGAAAATGGCCGCCAAATTTCCTTAGCTTAAGAGTCTGTGGTAACTGAAAATTTTCATTTTTTTGTGCCTTTAATCAACGTTTTTCAGTAAAATCCACTCAGAAATGTGTTCTTTATTGGGCATGAAAGGTGCTGAGCCAAAAAACAAAAATTCAATAAAAATTCACAAATCTGCGGAAAAATTCCAGTTTCTTCACTTTGATTATTTTGCAGAGAGCCTGATTCCACCACCCTGCCTCACATATGTAGTTGAGCCTGCTCTAACGGCCAGTTGGATAAGACAGTCACAACTACCAGCTACTTCCTATTTTGTCCCTCTTGCGTTAAAAAGAAATATTATCCTTATATTAACATTTTGTAAGATGACCACCTGTCTGAAACTGCCAATACTCCCCTCGACAATGCTGCTATAAGCTGACAAAACGCCTTTTTTTTTCTTCTCAGCAGTTTCAAGAAAAAGAGATTTTTTTGTCAGCATAACCATTGAAGAATAGAGTCATTCTGAAATTTGAATTCTAATTTATTGAAAAACTAGTCTCAGTTTCACTTTGATTTTTTTCACACAAGTAGGGTAACTGATTAGAATTTCGATTTAGCAAATAAACAATTTTGGTGCCAAAATGAAAAAAAAAGCGTTTGTCAGCTCACGACTGAATGGATGACTGTCTTAGTAGGCAATTTCGACTGTATTTTGTCATTTGAATTTGTTGAAAATGAACATCTCTATTCTCTTTGTTATTCCCTTTCTATTTCTCAGGCCTGGGCGCGGGCGGAGCAGCTCCTGTTGTCCAAGTACTTCCCTCACGCACAACACCTGGTGGTCAACGGAGCTGACCGTCACATTATGTACAGGTACATCTCTACTTCCCTGTCTTCCCCGTATTTTACTTCTCTGTCTTCCCCGTATTTTACTTCTCTGTCTTCCCCGTATTTTACTTCCCTGTCTTCCCCGTATTTTACTTCCCTGTCTTCCCCGTCTTTCTGTCTTTCATCGTCCTGCCCTGTCTCCTTCTGTCTCTTCCTGTTTGATCACTGAGTGCTTGAATGTTGGTTGTTCTGCCTACAACAGCGCTACTGATTATCATAGGAATTGAGTTCTCCTAACATTGTGAGTGGGTGGTTGGCGGGTGCCATTGTGTGGTTTGCTCTTTTTTTCCTATCAAACATCTATCGTCCTTATCTCTCCTTCTTTCCTATCAAACATCTATCGTCCTTATCTCTCCTCCTTGTTCTTTGTGTATGTTACTCTCTTGTAACGCATCTAATCTATTCTTCGGCACTTATATAACCTTATTGTGTTGCAAGTGCGGTAAAACTCTTACTAAAACTAAACTGTCTCCTTCTGTCTCTTCCTGTTTGATCGCGGAGTTCTTGTGTTACGTCTTGCTACTTGAGTCTTGGTAACTGCAAACTTGAACTTGGATCATCAGGAACTCCGGAGTCTTGTATTGGGTCGAAAATAACCATTCCCCCACCAGGGCAGTGCGGCTGACTGAAGTTGTCTTAAGGACATTCCCATTTAAAAGTGGACTCATAAACTTCATACATTTGTTTGACTGGTGGTTTATTGTTAAGTGTTGTTGAGTGGGAAATATAACAACAATAATCGACCGACAGTTGAACAGAAATACAGTTATGAGTCAACAAGCGTTCCAAATTGATAGCCCCTCCCGATTTTCAGTTTGTGACTATTCCCGTTTTTCCCCCCTGTACTCTTCAAATGTTTTATGGGTGTATCAAGTTAATTTAAAATACCCGTGTGCATGTTGTGCACGTTAAAGATCCCTTGGTGGTCTGAAATCGATAAGAGTAGGCTTCGGCCTCTACCAGGGCAAAATTCAAAATTTCCTACCAACTGAAAAAGTTTAATGTGTCCCGTGCGCTCAAATGACCATATGCAGTTGCGATCACCGTAAAACACTTACCAGAAAAAAAAATTATAAACAATAAGGAGGCAGGCTGCTTCACCCCCTCTGTGACAGGACCAACCCAGAATGAGTGGCACACAGCGTCCTAGCAGAGAGGCAGAGATACTCGATAAAACATTTCTCTACTTAAGACTCAACCTCATGTCTTGTGCTTAAAGCAGCAAAGAGCTTAGCCTTAACACCACAGTTACTGGTAAGGTACCAGATTGAATAAGATATATTGTGAATTTAAAATTTGAAAATTTCTAGTTGCACTTAGGATTCCTGTTGGTGATATAAATTGTTTTATTATAATTTTGATATTTTTTGTTACAGAAAACCTGAGCCAATTATTGAGGCAGTGACCAGACTGATACGGCGATGGAAGAAATCACAAACTTTGAAAGGCAGCAAAAGCTCATAGTTTTAGCTAGTAATTGGTTTTTTTTTGTGTGTTCATATGGATGCAAAAGCTCATTATTCATAATAGGTGTATGTACGTTGTATGTCCCTTTGTCTGTGTGTTTTCATCATGGGAAAGTTCACAGTTGTAGTTTGTGTGTGTGTGTGTGTGCGTGTGCATGTGTCATTTTCTGTTGTTAGTGAGTGAGTGTGAGTGTGTTTGTGTGTGCCTGTGTCTTTTTCTGTTGTTAGTGAGTGTGTGTGTGTGTGTGTGTATTACAACACATTGGAGTGTGGTTATATGGCAAATTTGGAATTTTATTTTTATCTCATGAGAATTAAAAAGTCATGTTTGCTCTAAACAATTTTCTTGGCCGTTTGTCATTTGTCTGTTTGTGAGTTTGTGGTTTGCTTTTGAGTTTTCGGTTGACGGGTGCTCTGGTGTGGTTTGCTCCTTTTTTCCTCTTTATCAAGCATCTATCATCCTTATCTCTCCTCCTCCTTTTTTCCTCTATATCAAACATCTATCATCCTTATCTCTCCTCCTCCTTTTTTCCTCTATATCAAACATCTATCATCCTTATCTCTCCTCCTCCTTTTTTGTGTATGTTACTGTCTTGTAACACATCTATTTTTCTGCACTTATATGACCTTTTTGTGTTGCAAGTGCCATAAAACTCTTAATAAAACTAAACTAAACTAAAACTTTGAGTTTTCAGGCTAAAGCCAGCGCTTTTGAAATTTTCTGGATGCTTGCTGTGTAGAAAGATGATTTTGTGTGGTTTCAAATTTCTCAAAAACTTCCTGTGCCTTTTTTTTTCAATGTTAATTGGGCCATGCTACTGACTGAAGTGTCTTTATGGAATTCCCAAAGAGGTGATATTAACATGTTCTTATGCACAGTAGAACTGTAAATGGGTTGATTTATCAATGTCATGCTCATACTGTGCCGGAACAACATAAGGGGAACTGCTGCTTTTGCTTTCCTCATCCTTACTCTCGTCATTTTTTCCTCTACTTCTTTTGTTTGCTTGTCACTCTCTTGTGAACTGCTATTTCCGGGGTGCCTTGATAGTCGAAGCAGACTTTGTGCTATTGAGGCTAGAGAGATGAGCAGAGTAAGCCTGATTCCCTGTTTAAACTTCTCTTTTGACATCCACCCCTTGGCGCTCATATGATCTTATGCAGTTGCGAGCGCCGTAAAACCTTACTACATGTAAAACTTAAACTTAAAAAGGCTTTCTGCCTATTTGGCTTGGTCCTGCTGGAGATTGATTTTAAACCTGCAGGTTGTGCCTCAATTGAAATAGCATGGCAATGCTGAAACTGAAAGGGGCGTAAAACGTATACAGTGAATAACAGAAGAAGAGAAAGCTGCTTCTTCTTTCCTATCAAACATCTATCGTCCTGATCTCCCCTCCTTCTTTTTTATATTTGTTACTCTCTTGTAACGCCTCTAATCTTCTGGCGCTCATATGACCTTATGCAGTTGCGAGCGCCGTAAAACCTATACTAAAAAAAAAGAAAGATTACCCAGCTGTCATAATAGTAGTAGATGTCATCATAGGGGGCCGTGGAAACCAAAAAAGCACCAAAAACAATTTAACAACAGCAACAACAATCATTTTTTTAAAGAAAAGAAAACTAAAATTCTGAACAAAACACACATTGTAATTTTCCCTAATCGGGATCCGAACTCATTGTGCGTCTTTTGCCTGCCAGGGTGAGCACTCTAACCATTAAGCAACAGACGCCTGTGTACTATGCACTGGGCCACCACGGCTGCTTTTGTCAGATAGAAGAAAAAGGAGAGAGAAAGAGAAGGATGGAGAGAAAGGGGTTGGGGG